TTGGAATTTGATCAACTATTAGAAAGAACAGGAAATTAATTCTTTTGATTTCACAATTAATTTATTAATTAATACTTTCTTATTTCGTTAAGAGGTTATTTCTATTATTCACACATCTATGCTATTGTTTAAAATATCTATTTCTTCATTTTGTGCATATTAATTTTTAAATTCAGTGAATGTAAAATACAATAAAATGTAAGACAATGTTTTTGGATCATTTTTAGCTAGCAACACCCTTTAGTACATTACATAATCTGTAATCCTTGAAATATGTTCTACTTTGAAAAAAAAATTCATTCCATGAATCAAACTAATATGTATTAATGATACCAAAAACTATTTTAAAATGATTTTTAAAATGATTTTAGGTAATTTATAGAATTTTAGATTTATAATGAATAAAATGATGATATTTAAAATTATTTATTCAAACACGTAAAAAGGAAAATACAATATTTATTATAATAATGTAATAATGAAAAATTGAAATTGTTTAAAGATTAAACAATCCAATTACATTTCTCAACAGAACTCATTTTAATACTGTACTGTTTTTAAACTCTTATCAAAGTATTTATTTTTTATTAAATATTCAGAAATTTCATATAGTTATTCATCTTTACTGATGTAGATGAGACATTTCTGGATCAAATAATTTATCATCTAACAAAAAATTTCATCTTTTCTTTCAAAAGAAAATATATGATTTAAAAATCCTGTAATTTTAATTGGGAATTATTACTCAACTCAGTTAAAAATCAGAAAATCAATATATTTCATACATGAAAAATATTTAATTATTCCTGATAGTTCTGATAAAATTAGTTAGTAAAATAAACTTTTATATATAATTTTAATGATTAATTTGTTATCACTACTAGGTACATATACAGACACTCGGCAATTCTATCATCAACTTTTATTCGGAAATTTCTTATTTGCCAAGACACATTTCGGGTGGCAAATAAGAAATTTCTGAATAAAAGTTGATGATAGAATTACCAAGTGTCTGTATATGCACCTAGTAGTGATAACAAATTAATCAAAGAAAAGAACACGTGGTTCCGGAATACACAACTATAATTTTACTGTCAAATTAATTTGTTTTATTAACAAAAATTATTCATCTTTCCTTTAGAAAATAATTTATTATTACACAATTTCTCAGTAGAAATAAAATTGAAAATAAAGAAATAAAAATGTTACTATTATGTTCTACTTTCTCTAAATCTACTCTTTATATACACTGCTGGCCATTAAAATTGGTACACCATGAAGGCAGCATGCAACAAATGTGAAATTTGCATGAAAGGTACAACATGCTGAGATATGCAAATGATTAGCTTTTCAATGCATGCTCACAAAGCAGGTAAGAGTAAGACCACCTACAATCTGTATAAAACAGAAGACCGTAAAGGGAAGATCGTACAGAAATTGCATTCGCATGTTGGTTGCTTGTGTAAAAGGTTTTGTTATGTCTTGTGTAAGGAGAAAGAACACCTACCAGCATGTGTCAGAGTTTGATCGTGGTAGAATAGTAGCCTACCAAGACTGCAGTTTATCATTCCTTGCTATTGCCGCTCGCATTGGTCATGATCCCATGACTGTCTTGAGAATATGGAATTGATGGGTCCAGGAGGGCCATACAGAATGCAGTGCAAAATCTCAGAGGCCCCCAGTTACTAATGTCCAAGAGGCCTACCTACAATGGTGCATTCAATGACAAATATGGATACAGGAGTGGTATCACGTTGTCTTTTCAGACAAATCTCAGTTCTGCATACAGCATCATGATGGCCATATCTGTGTGTGGATATCTGAGAGAAAGGAAAGTTGCCAATTTGCATTCATCATCGTCAGCCCAGTACCTGGAGTGATAGTACAGGGTGCCATAGAGTATACATCCTAGTTACCTTTTGTTCACATAACCAGTAATTTGAACAGCTGCCAATACATTTCTGATGTGTTAAGGCCTATCATTGCACCCTATCTTTAAGACCTCCGTCATGCTATCTTTCATTAGGACAATGCAAGACCTCATGCTGTCCATATGTCCTGACCTTCCTGAATACAGAGGGTGTTCAACTGTTGTCCTGGCCAGAACATTCTCCAGATCTATCACCAAATGAGAACATCTGGTCAATGGTTGCCAAGAAACTGGCATGCCACCACTCCAGTATGACAGATGAACTCTGGCATTGAGTTGAAGTCGCATGAACTGTTGTACCCATAACTGTCATCCAGGGCTGTGGAAGTCGCGTAAAAATCTACCGACTCCAACTCCGACTTTTCCTTAACATCCGACTCCGACTAAAACATCAAAACTCCATGACTCCGACTCCACAGCCCTGCTGTCGTCCAAACTCTGTTCAACTTGATGCCCAGATGGATTATTGTTGCCAAGGGTGGCTGCTCTGGGTACTGATTTCTGTATGCTCTGTACTTCAGAATTATCTGTCAATTTAATTTAATCATGTCTTCCTCCCATTATACTGTATTTGTACAATATTATTCTGATATATGCTTTCCTTCCTGGTGTAGCACTATCAAGAACAGATAAATAGTAATAAAATATTTGTTATGAATAGTCTATACTGGGAACAAATAACACAGTGTGAAGTGAGCAGGAAGTTGGACCACCTACAATAGACAAAGTTTACAATCAAGTGTCAATGTTGTCATTTGTAATATATGAATTAAATTAGGAAATTTAATAAAATTTACTTGCTTTAATTTCTTATCTCAATACATTTTTATTATTATAAAAATTTAATATTTTTCATTAGTTTTTGCTTTCCTGGCCCTATTATATATATAACAGAAGGAACATATGGTAATCAGTCAAAAAATGATCCCCCTAAGATATTTACATTTTTGGACTTGGGACCTTGAAACATCAAGAAATGCAAAAACATTCAGATTTTCTGTATGTATAGATGTTAGTGTGTGTGGGGGAGGCACAATTTTGTTCATATTCTTTGAAGCTTAGTAATTCCTGTGCTTTTTGTCAGAAATTTCTGAAATTCGGCAAAGATGTTTCTGTATTAGGGGGATTGATGCTATTTGTGTACTGGGGAGATTGATGCTAGTGGTTAAAGGTTGATGGGGTGAGGAGATAAAGTGGGTGTCGTGCGTTATATCTCAAGTAGGGTCAATTTAATGATGATTTTTCTTATTATTAGCATTTACAATTGTTTATAAAACCCATCCCTACCCTCAAAATTAAGCTTTTTGTCATTTTATAATAATGAAATATATAAAAAATTTTTAAAATAAAATATTGTAACAGATGGTGACACATGCAATTTTGAATGTTGCCAGGAAAGTTAAGCAACTCATTGCTGGATTTTTTTATTTTTAAAATTATAGTTATATTGGGTTGTCCATTTTAATCAATTTACTGGAATACTTCAAAAACTATGCATCTTACAGAAAACTTCATGAAACTGAAAATGTTAGACTTCAAGGAGTCCACAAAATGGGACTATCAATTTCATCATGGATAGAACTACAATCAGTGAAAATGAGGTAAACTTCACTTTCTTAAATGGTAACTCCAATTTCTTATTGGTTATTATGATTCTACAACAAAAGGAAACAAATTTTTATCTAAAACATTTTTTCATAAGATGCACTTACAAGGAGTTATGAGCATTTAAAGTTTTAAAATCCAGTAACAAATCTGGAACAGATAATTTCAAAATCAATATTCATGAATATCCAGAGATTTACACATACATGATGTGGCAGCCATATAAAGCTTTAAATACAGTAGAGCATCGATTTTCCGAATCAATTGGGGACTGGGGTTGTTCGTATAACTGATATTTCGAATAACCGATTTATGTACGAACAAATAGTTTAACGTATCCGATGTNTTTGGGTGTTTTAGCTGGCAACACGGCTTGACCATTAAAGGGAGACCAGTATTTAAACAAGACTTAATTTTCTAATTATGAGTGGTTGTTTGTTTTGTGAGCAATAAAATAATTTAAAAATAATTTTTAATGATGCGATAGCAACGATTATTATTTTTAAAAAAAATTTGTTAGGCTTAACATCGATGAAAATTCAATGCGAAGTTGGTTAATAACGATATACTAATATACTAATTACATGGGATATACTAATATACTATACTAATAATGTATTTTTTTCATTTTTTTCGGATATCTGATTTTTCAGTTATCCAACCAACCTGAGTCCCCAATTGAGTCGGATAATCGATGCTCTACTGTATACTACTTACAAAAAGATGATGGCTGTAAGAAATGTAAGCAGACACATTTAGATCAAAGGTTACAAAAAATTATGGGTATATTGCTGAGTCAAAAGTCATTCCCACATCTCACACCAGAAAGTGTTAAGTTAATTGGCTAATCAGTAGAATAAGAGGAAAAACTATTGCATTGTAATTTGTTGAATTGCTGATTATTATGAATTTTTTTCTTTAGTTGGTTTCTTTTTCCTAATAATGTTAATACTAGTTGTAACTACTTTCATATTTTGAAAATAATTGTGTTATTTTAATTTGGATTGAAATTAATACTAATTTTTTTTTACAGAAAGAACATCCAATATGTTACTTGTAAAAAAAAAACTTTTTACAATTAAGAACTAAAGGTGTGCTAATGTTTTATCTTTGGTTTTTGAGATATTTTGGAAATATATTTTCTTTAAAATTTTTATTTATAACTACATAGATGATAAGCCTGAAATTTATTTAGATAGGTATTTGTCCTAAACATATTGATACTACATTCAAAGTAATTTTTATTGTTAGTGATAATCACTAACAATAAATATTATGGCAATTTATTTTCAAAAAGTAAATAGCATTCAAGATTTATGTTATTGATAAGCTATTTACTATATAACAACTTTTTGATCAAAGTCAATAAAAATATCTATGAAATACATATATATGTATCTTTTTGACTAGATTTTCCATTTTAAATTACACTGTAGGGGTTTTTAAATTTAAAAGAAATACTTACCATATACATTAAAATATCTCTAATCATTACCATACTAGTTTGATGATCATTCCACGCTTGGTTCAATGTTTGTAAAAAATTGTTATGTAAGGCAGCTAAGACATCTGCTCGAACCTATAAGAAAAACAAAAAAAATTATGTATTTAGTTCATACAAATTATTTATTGCATATTTTATAATTTTTATTATCATAATCAACACAGATGCAACAAGTTTTATCCAACAAACATTCAAAAATACATTTAACCTGTTCTAGGCTGTGTTCTGGAAATTTCATTTTTCAATAAATTGCAATATTTTAAAAGACCTATTAGTCTTTTATCATCTGTATTTGATATGTCATCTATTCTCCTACCTGTACTATTGCTACAAATGTGAAAATTGAGGTAAAAAAACATCTTTTTCAGCCAGTTTCTCAATCATGTGAAGAATGAATGTAAGGAATACTGTCACATATTCTATGGCAAATGTGGCCAAACTTTTATCCCTTAGGGGCTACTGTTTTGGTAAAATATAGTCTGTGGGTGACTATGAATATGGGCAAACAATTTTAGGATTTTTATATGCGCATGCATTAACATTCATTTGCATTGTTCATTGGGATAAATACAAACAGTATGGGTACGCTGCACAGACAGTTTATTATTGTAAGAATAAATTATCAAATTAAGATTTTTAAACATTAATTTAAGTGAAAGCAAATTGTTCAACTTTAGCTTCGTGGGCTACTTTCAAAACCTTTGCGGTCGACCGCGGTCTATGTGTTGACCATCCCTGTTCTATGGCATATCATATTTTTAAGTGCTTTTATTTAACTTACTTTGTAGCATGTCCTCAAATCTTGCAACTCAAGTTTCATCCACTTCTAATTACATTAGAAGGCTGAAACTTTGACTGTAATATATATATGTAATATGTAATATAATATAAGTAATATGAATCCACAAATGCTATAGTCTTACATAACATCTAGTCATTGTATAAACTCAGGTGATGTAGCTACTATAATGATTCACTTTTCTCTCCTCACAATGTACTTGAAGTATTTGAGAAAAACCTGTTGTCAAAACTAATCCAAGAAAGCAAATTATTGTTTATTATATTTTTTACAGAACATGCAGTTTCACATTACCAGGTACTTTCTCTAAATAAGTAAACTGCTACTAAGGCTATATTTGAATATTACAAAATTTGTGCATTTAATAAACTTTTATTGTATTTACTTAAAAAATTAAACTGATGATGTAAGTTAATCATTAATGTAATTCTCTTATATTGCCAAATATAACAACAACTTATTGATATAGTTTGTTGCTTTTGCAAGGAAAAAAACAAAATACTAGATTAATACTATAAACATATTTATTTGTTCAAACAAATTTAAAGATTGTACAAAAAATTTATATATACCCACCAGCCAAACTGCAGCTCCTCACAAGTAATATGTTGTTCATGTAGACCATTGCTGCAGCTCCCATATACTCATACAGTTTTTTTAAAATAAACTTGGTACATACTACTTAAACATATTTAAAATTTTTGAAAATTTGCTGACTTTTACATAGTATAATACACACATTTCTAATTCACAACTTAATCTTGAACAGGCAACTGAAAGCTAAATGGGTACATTGAGTTTTCAGTTATGAACCAAATTATAAGCTTTAAGTGTCCAAAGTACAAACCTACAAACCTACTAGTAATAGAAAAGAAACATTGAGATGTAGAGATGTATTTAAATAAAAAGATAAGAAATTTATAATTAAACTATTTTCTCAGTTTTTCTAAATAGCTTTCTTACATACATACCTAAATGTGTGCATTTTTAACTTAACATAACAATGAAACTATAGTATTTTAACTATGTATGTATATATAAAATATGATTCCAATAGAGAATGTGGTTCTTTGTACTTCTAATGCAGGTATCCTATTATGACAAGTTCTGCCACCCCAATATATAGCATACAAAAATTTTTGACTTAAATCACACTTTAATCATTAAATATTGGATTATAATAAATTTTGTTATTAAAAAAAAATCACTTAAGTTAATAAGTTCACAAGACAAAAATAAGTGATTCTTCATACTTTCTATTCTCAATCTGCTACAGGAGCACTAGGTATTATCCATTAAATCAGGGATTCCCAACTGAAACCCAATAAAAATTTGGGGTTCCATAATAAAATCCATTGAGTCTAGTGATGCATGAATGTGCCGATGCAGATTTAGGAGTTGAGGTATAACTATTCTAGTCTTGAATGGAGTCCTTGTATGACAATATGAGGACTCAATCCAAGACTAAACACATGTTAAAGTTATTTGTAGATTTAATAAACAGTGGGGACTGATTTATTGATAATGGAATGAACCAAAATAATGATATAATGTTTGAAAAGGTAATGGAAACCATAAAAACAGTAAAACATAAACTAAAGCTAGAAAATCATTTTAAAAATCAACCTTAAAAAGGATCCAATATCATATAAATAAAAATATAATCATTAAATCTGTATATATATACATACATACATACATGCATACATACTTTTAATATACATATATTAAAAGCAAAATGTTCTGTCACACTGCACACCTCACACAAATAATGTAAATTTAAAAATAAATTTTATTTACAACTTGAAAATTTCAAAATAACTTTTAAGTGGATTTTAAAAACATTGTTTTAATTTTCAATTGATTTGATTTCAATTTTAATTAATTAATTTTGATTATATTTCATTGTAGTTTTACTTTTGGTTTAGGTGTAAAGTGTCTACCTAGTATGCTTTAATTCATTGATATCTGCAGGGTTCCAACATTTTTTATTAAAGTGAAAAGGGTTCCATGATAAAAATATTGTCAAATATATAAAAAAATTTTCTATGAGGAGGATAAAACCATAAATATTTTAAATTAATATAACAACAGATCAGTTATTAGAAAGCCCAGATACAATAAATATTAATATAGAAAATAGATTGGCTAATTTAGATGATTGTTTGATAGAAATTGTTTAATTTATATTAAATAATTATTATTTTAAAATGGAGGGTAAATATTAATCTCAAGTTGATGGCATTTGAACAGAATCTTGCATTGGTCCAATATTAGTGAAACTTATAATTATTAAAATACTAGATAGCCTGACAGTTGAATTAATGTTAACTCACTTAAAACTGAAATTTAAAAAAATTTAAAAGGCAGGCAAATTTATAAAACAAAAATTAATGAAATTAAAAAAATTAAAATTTATCTTTGTGCAAAACAACACAACCAATTTCTGTAGTTGTGTTGCAAAGGAAAAAAAGAGTTGAAATTAATTAAAAAAACAAAGGGTTCAAAAAATGCAGGCAAAATAAAATAAATAATTATTAAAAATAATTATAAAAACTAAAATCAAATTAATATGAAATAAATTAAACCTAAAAATAATAATTTAAAAAATAATAAAATAATTAAAATGCTGGCCTTTACACTAAAACTGAAACAAAAATTAAAAATAAAATCAAAACTAATTAAAATCAAATCAATTTTTAAATTTACATTATTTGTGTATGGCAGTGACAAAACATTTTGCTTTTAATTAATATATATATAAATAAATATTAAAAATAATATAAAAATTAAAACTAAATCTGTATATAACCAAAAGTTGTTATTCAAAAATCAAACTCAAAAAATATTTACTACAGGAGCAAACAAATAGCCATATCTTCAATTCTGAGTCAAAAGTGAAGTCTTTTCATGTCTCCTATCCCTATGCAAAGACCTTTTCCCTTTGTTAATTAACTCTTTCCACAAATTCATTCAGAGTCCACAGAGGAAGTTAACAAATGGTCCTTTTGAAAAACGAACCCCACATGTGACCCAATGTGGCCTACTTACACACCGCTTCTTTATAAAGTGTTGGTTTCAGTTTCGGTGGGGATGGAACATTTTGCTTTTAATGTATATATAGATATTGTGATAAAAACATAAATGGTATAATATGTTATAAAAGATACATAGATGACATATTGATAATATATGGCTCAGATAAGTGAAAATGAAATTTAAAATAAATAAATTATATGAGTTTGCATTCTTTGTTTTGATTAGAGATGTTTTGCATCATGTAATTTTTTGCTATGTTTTTTTAACGATGTCTTATTAANAAAAAAAAAAAAAAAAACAAATTTGCTGATTAAATACAGACAACCGTTTAACCAAAGTGAAACGGGTTTTCCCCTTGCTATGGATGTCTGCCTAGTTGAGTTCAGCCACAATCCGCTACAGTTTGCCTTTATTATCAGTTCAAAATGGAGTGGTTCCATAATACCATCTTTTCCTCTACTGAATTCATTTCCTTAGAACATGGAGATAAAATTTGATAATTTAGTGATTTTTAGATCTATTTTATCTGCAGATAGATATTTGGAACTATTAAAATTAAAAGACTATCTTTTTTGATATCTTCATAAAATATTCATTTAGTAATTCTTGTACAATGTGTCTGTAATATGTTTGATTGTTCTTATTTGATATGTTATAGCTACATGGTTAATATTATAAAAAATATCTGATACTTAATAAATGATTAATTTATAAACTGTCAGCAATTTTAATATTTCAAGCAAATATTTACCACAAAATAATAACAACATATATATCAAACAGTTTTGAAAAATAATTTGAAATTTGTAGTAGAATAAAGAATTAAAAATGCTATATAAAAACAACTTTAACATCGTTAATATTTTGATAATTTGATTAATTCCTCCTTTTCCAACCTTTTCTAAACTGCAGAATTATTTTGTTACAGGCAAGTTTGTACTGAACTCCAAGACAATTCTAGTTATATTGTTAAATTAAAAATTACATTAAATGTAGAAGTAATTACTTTTATTTCAACCTTTTACAAGTCCTTTATTTTATGGTTCTATACTACATTCCTTCCCCAATTATCTCATGCTTACCAATAGGATTGTTGTTTCTGGTTGTCACACATTTTTTTTTTTTAATCTGGAAGTATGGGAGATATTTAATGCAATTTACAAGCTTGTAAAAGTTTTTTTTTTTATAAAATTATTTCCTAATGCATTGCAAAACTCCCAAGACATGTCTCATAGAAACTAGTTGGGAAAGGTGAGCTTAATCTATTACAAAAATATAAGTTTTCATCTACAAGTACGTATCTTCTAATATCAGGACTTATTATACTGGCTTTACAGATAATGCTACAGAGTTGAGTTTCACAGAAAATAATTTTTTATTTTATTTAATATACCTATCCTGATATTAGAAGATACGTACTTGTAGACAAAAATTTATATTTTAGTAAGAAAAGGACATTGAGGCATTTTAATTAATCTATTACATTTTAGTGATGAAGATGATAATATTTCATATATCAAGTGATTCAGTTAGGCAAAACTAGATTTTTACCACTAAGTAAAGGAATCCAAGATTAATTCTCATATTTCATTGTAATAAAATAATTTTATTATATTCTTCATTCAATGAAAAAGGAAGGAAAATATGATAAATAATTATGTACACTGAAATCAAATAAAAAAGAAACACTACATTTCATTTATAAGGTTAGAGCCTTTCAGTAAAATTACTCTGTTATTTGATAAATAACAAAGCATTCAAGAATTAACACTATGTTTGATCTTACCTTGTTATTTTTTGTTTTGTTTAGAATTGAATTTGTTGACTAATTTCATCTTTGTATCAAATTAAAAAAATACAATCACTTGAATAACTTCATAGACTATCTTCTCTTAACTTAATATTCTCACACTCATGAACACAATTTTTACTCTTTGTTTTTACATTATATATTAAAACTCTCACGGGCAAACTTAATGAATTTAAAATAAAGATACCTTATTAATTAGATGATCTGTAACTACTTCCCTAAGTCCTGTATATAGTCTTTCACCATGTTTATGTAAAATCATTGTGTATGCATTTCTGTACAGTTCCTCAAAACTTAGTCCACTATTATTTTTCTTTTGAATTTCTTGAATAGCATTTTTGAGCAATGTCCAGATACTCTGTACATATTTTTCATCCATAGTCATCTGAAATAAAATCAATTTTTAATTTGAAATAAATATGCATTNTTATACTTCAGATGTTAATTTAGTATCAAAAACATAAAATATTTGAGTAGCCCAAGACATAGCCAAAGATTGAAGCTCCACAGCACTGGCGAAAATTTAAATTTGCCGACTGGAAATCTTTCGGATGATTGACTTTCGGAAAATCGACGCTCTACTGTACTCAATTTCTGATAAGTGCATCACTCAAAAAAATCCTCAGACTACTGTTTTCTTCTTTTTCTTAAGCATTCTTATTTGAATTCAGTTTAATTTTGTTTATATTCAAAATTAGTTTGATTCATGTATTCAAACAAAACAAGAACAATACAGTTAATTTACCTAATTTATTCATCATCATCAGCCAAATAAGTACTCCCAACATGAATTTGTCATATTAACTTAATAAACATTATCTAGAGAATTTCATTGTAAATTTCAAACAATTCTAGTGCAAGGTTCTTTATCTCTTTTTGTTCATGAATATTTTTGTTAAACTTTGCAAGATGCATTCAGTGGTGGCCCTAGGGTAGTGTGACTGCACTAGGCACCATCAAAGAAACCAATATTTATACATTTATTTCCTTATTTCCTTTTGTTCTCCGTCTAGAACTTTCTTTTCATTTCCTTTCTTCCCTTTGGGTGGGACCACCAATCCCAAGAACTGAAGACAATGAACCACAAGTTCCAAGAACATAAGACAATGGAGAGTTAAGGCCTGAAGGCTGATTAGACAAAAAGAACGGGCTAATCTTGACTGGACCTTCATCGGAGTAAGACGTGAAGAGAAGAGCGCTCCAGATCGCAAGTAGGTGACTAGGGGCTACTTGAGACTGAATAATTCCGAAGGAAGGACATTTTGGTTACGTTAGAAAAATAGAAAACTCCAGAGTAAATGTTGAATGGAAGTCCTGATTTTAAAGAAAGGGAAGAAAAATCACGTCTGGTGTATCTGCAGAATCCAAGGTGGTGTCCATCCAGTGTTCATGAAATAAAGAGAATCCCAAGTATTTTAATTTCTCCCTTTTTCTATCTACCTTCTCATATAATCTTCTACCCTCTTTGGTTATAAGTTAGTGAGTAAGAATTAGTTCTAAGTTTTGCAAAATTATTGTACTGTACAGTATATTAAATGTCTGACTACTTTTGAATACTACAATATTCTTGGAGTGGGATCTAATAAGAACCTGGTTCATGAGCGACGAATAAAATACTTTGTGATTTAAGAACCTTGCTATGTATTCTTTGTGTTAGTCTATTCGGTAGTCCACACGTGGGGAAACCGCAAAACCGCATTTTTTGTATAAAAACTTTATTTATTAACTTTTTTACAAAATTTTTTCAGTCACCTTCAAAGTACTCTCCATTAGATGCGATGCACTTGTCAAATCTTTTTCCCCCACTGTTTGAAGTATCTCTGGAACTCTTCAACCTAGATATCATCCAATGCCCTTAGCAAAGCTGTTTTTACTACCTCCACATCATCAAAACGCTTCCCTTTTAGATTTTTCTTCATTCTCAGAAACAGAAAAAAGTCGCACGGGGCTAGGTTTGGTGGTATACAGAGGGTGGGGAGCAACAGGCCATCCCCAAAAGGCCAAATAGTGGGTCACTCATAACGCCATGTGTGCAGGGGCATTGTCGTGATAAAGCAACCAGCCACCTGATCACCAAAGTTCTAGGCGTTCCCTTCACACATCCTCTCACAGATGTCTTAACACTTTTTTGGCGGATTTTTTCAACATTTTCATTGTTTCAAGATGTTGAAGGATGCCCAGAACTTCGCAGGCGAAACAAAATAACAGTAAGAGAAACAACACTACGCTGAAACATAAACCTACAAACTGACGCTGTTTGCACAGCTATTTCATGAAGGTCTCTACTAACCCCATATAATGGGAGAACTCTCTACTACGTCTACAAATGGCAGTGCTCTCTCAGTTTGGTTTTTTTGGTCCCCCTCATACATATGTCACTCACGAACATCACATTAGCATAAATTTAAACGAAATTAGGCTGTGTTATGCAAGTCACCCTAAACTGCAACTTGAGAACCAGCTTTTCAATACATTTTGGGTGAGTATGTATTGTATTTGTTGCTCCCTTAGTAAATGTTTCCGAGTGACAATATTTTTGGGTGTAGAATTGATTTTAGGTAATTGCAGTTTACCTAAATATTGTAAATATTTACAAAGTATAATGTTTCCTTTACAGACAAAACATGTCACTACCTCCAAAAAACTATCTTAAAAAAAAACAAAAAAAAAGCAAGGCAAAACTGAAGTCTGCAAAATTGCTAGCAAAATTTTTGAGAGTAGAAAAGTCATCCAAATCATCATCATCAGAACTAGTTCAACACGCGATGGAAGAAAACCTATTTAATAAAAGTTCTTCAGATAAAGCCCACGAAGATGAACAGCAGCATGCACAAGAAGATTTAGCTATTTCTGGAATGTCATATGCAGTTCAAAATATTACAGAAGAGGTTATACCAGACATACCATCACCGTCACCTTCTCAGAATATAGATTATGATATTTCAAAATGGTCGCTCGTTGACCCTGCAACCAGAGATGAAATAATTATTCGAGGTCCTGTAAGTAATGATACGAACAAGAAAAAATGATGGATGTCATTTTTCAAATACGCATTTTTAAAGGGTAATGCCAAATGAAGAAACTTATAAAAGAAGATGGCTTGTTCACTCTAAATCTGTTGATAAAGTATATTGTTTTCGCTGCTGTTTATTCGATAGAAGTTCCCACTCTAATTTAGGAAAAGAAGGAGTTGATGACTGGAGACACTTATCAATGTGTCTCAAAACTCACGAAACTTCCTCAGATCATCTGCGCACCATGACCAGTTGGATAAAAGCGTCAAATTGATTAAAGCACTTCAGTGGCATTGACAAGCATTTGCAAAAACAGATTGAAGACAAGAAATCGCGTTGGATTTCTATCCTCAAATGAATGATGTCCATAGTATTCTTTTTATCAGGCAATAATTTATCATTCAGAGGAAGCTCAGGATGTGAAACACTGTATACTCCTAATAATGGTAACTCTTCCTGGGTTTAGTATAACTGCTAGGAAAATTTGATTCTGTGATGATGGAGCACCTCTGCCATATTGTTAATAAAAAGACTAATGTCCACTATTTTGGCAAACATATTCAAAATGAGTTGATCAGCTTACTTGGAAGTGAAGTTTGAAATAACATTTTGAATAGGGTAAAGTCATCTAAATACTTTTCCATCATATTGGATTGCACTCCTGATGTCAGTTGTGTTGAACAGTTATCTTTAACTTTGTGTTTTGTTGATACTAATGAAAGTAAAGTGCAAGTATGTGTTTCGTTGCTTACAAGCTGGTAAGTGACGCTTTGGAAGCTACACTCACTGGCCTCTTTCTTGATGATATTGTGCAAGAGTTCGAGTTGGATATGAATGATTGTCGAGGCCAAGGATATGATAATGGATCAAATATGGTAGGAGTTAACAAAGGTGTCCAAAGCAAAATTCTGAACCAATATCCACGAGCATTTTTTAATCCATGTGGCTGTCATTGTTTAAATTTGGTAATAGCAGATGCCGTCAAAACATCTGTTAAATCAGTTTCTTTGTTCAGATTTCTTCAAAGACTGTTTGTTCTATTCTCTGCATCAACAAAGTGATGGGAAGTGATATCCAAGCACATAGAAGGACTATTGCTGAAAAAAGTTTGTGAAACTCGTTGGGAGAGTAGAGTTTCTAGTCTCGCTGCAGTTTGTTATCACTATTCTTCAGTTCGTGACGCCTTTCTGGATCTTCACAAAGAAATGAATGACCCAGTTGCAGCATCAGAGTCAGATCATGGAGCAATTTGAGTTTATAGTAACAATAGTGGCTTGATATGATATATTGTTTCAAGTAAACATTGTAAGCAAGGCTATGCAGTCTGAAACTACGAATTTACCAAACGCTACACAATTGCTGAAAAACTGCTATGAATTTGTAAAAGAGTACTGGCGTTATTCGTCTGCTGTAATAACAGCTAGGAAAATTGCTTTTCAGGCTGGGATAGATCTTATTTTTAAGTCAGTCTGATCCTGAAGGAAGAAGAGATTATTTAAATACAAGGCCATAGATGAGACACCAACAGATCCTGAAGAATTGTTTAAAATAAATATCTTTTAACCTATGATTGATACAATTGAGAATACATTGGTCACTCGGTCCTTTTTATACAACATCAAAACAATTCATGAAAAGTCAAAATTGGAAAAAGCCAGTGCAAATTTAGAAATAAGTTTAACCAATGGAGAAAAATGTGACATATCTGGTTGTGAATTAGTTGAGGAACTTTTACCTAAATCCATTGTTGAAAAAGCTTAAATCATCAGAACCAATTAAAGTTCTTCAACTTATTAAACAAAAATGATTGGCAGGATATATTCCCAAATGTTTGGACAGCACTTCTAATTTTGCTGACCATACCTGTAACTGTCACTAAAGGAAAACAAAGTTTCAGTAAATTAAAACTTATTTACATTCAACCATGTGTCAGGATAGACTGTCAGATCTAGCAATTTTATCTATCAAAAATAGTATTGCCCAGGAATTAAATTATTCTGAATTAATAACAACATTTGCCAAGCGCAAAAGCAAGGAAGATGGAAATTAGGCTTTTTATAAATTTTATTTTTTCTTAAATTGTTTCAATTTTTAAATTAATTTACAATATAAGTTTGTCTTTTAAGTGATGTGAGTGTTGTCTGGGCCATAGCAGTTTAAATAAATATTATTTTTCAAAACCACAATGCAGCGTAATAATCAACACTTGGCATATCTCACTCATTTATTTCAGTTTTTGTTGAGACGCGTTCCTACACATGTTTCGGGCTTTGTTTTGCCCCTCCTCAGTCAACTAGAAACGTATAAAACCAACTTTATACACATTATGACACAACATATGAATTTAAAAATCTTAAAAAATTTTTATATT